TTTCTGTTCTTCCAGCAGGGTTTCTATCTTTAACAGCTTTTCCATATTTTCAAAAGACAGTTCCGACTGTTTGTTGAGGCAGTCTTTTATTTCCTTTAACTCGTCGATGCCCTGAAGCTTGGTCTTCATCTGCTTAACTTCCTCGGTCAGGGCCTTCAATAGGTCAATCATTGTAGGCTCAGAAGCGCAATCGGGGCATATCCATTTTTTGTTAATTTCTTTTAGGCCTTCCGAGTCACTATCAATTTTGATACATTTAGCATGAAATATATTTGTACATACTGTACAGGCTAATTTATTCTTCTCCTCTCGTGCCACCGATTTATTGCATGTTTTACAATTAACCATTTTATTGAGATTATTATTTCTTTAAAATAGCGCTATTTAAATAAGGAGAGTTAAATAAAAACAATAAGCAACAAAAACAACAACACACCTGTTTGTTTGGGTGGCGGCTGCCGGGATTAAGGTGAAGCTTGATAAGCTGCCCCACTACTGTCACTCAGCTGCTTTTATAACGGGCACTTTATTACTATTTTTATTAATATCAACGAAGATAATACACTACTGTTAACTCTATGGAATTTTCTGAATACTATATTAAATAAATGTGGAGATATTTTAACCGGAATGTATATGGATAACTATTACATGAATATATAGACAGAAACGCACGCTTGAGGTCTTGATTGAACGAGAGATTCTCTAAGACTGAATATAGAATATAGAAAAAATAACATCAATATTTTTATCAGCCAAAACTAATTCCAGTACCATGGCATATATATGAGCCAGAAGCAACTCCAGAACCAGAATTGTTAACACAAGCAGCATCAGAAATAGAACCCACACAAAAAACAACACCAGAACACACACGAGACAACACCAGAAGAAAAATTCATATCAGAGGCTACACCAGAACCACCACAGCTTAAGAAATCCAGGAGAATTAAAAGATGGCCAGATTACTTTAATGACTACATAAAAGTGCTTAAGCTTTTCAGAGATTAGGGGGAAAAAAAATACATTTTTTTTGTGGGGAGATTGTTGTAACCATGTGATCAAACATCAAATAGGAACTATATTTTTAATTCATTATTGTTAGAAAAGTTATAAAGCTCTATACAATGTTTCTAATGTTGAATGAAAAGTATATTATCTGATTTGGTCACCTTATTGAAATTATAACAGATAACATGGACCTTGCTGGCACAATCATGCCCAAAGAGTTACTTCTGATCTATTTGATAACTTATTATATATGTTTTTCAGAGTTGGAAAGAAAAAATAGTTGGAAGAAACTAGAGCTAGGAGAGGAGCCGAAAATTGATCAGCTAGGGTACGGTCCACTTTTGGGCAATATGGGTGCCGTAAACTGAATTTTTCATGGACCAGATTTTGGCTCACGTTTTAAATAATAAAAAATTGTTAGCTGTTTTTAAGTTCTAATTAATTAAGTTCTAATAATCTAAACTAATGGTGATGTATATAGAATAAGATGAAAAAGTTAAATAGATAAAAATATGACTTTATATCTTACAATTTCTCAAAAAGTAAATGCGTTTCTGATTAAAAACGTAAGATATGTCCATTTTAGGTTAAACTTATTGGAAACCTTACCTTCAGAGCCTTTTTTGACTACTAAAACAAGATAAATGGTGAAATATGCAATGATATGCTTGCTTAGAAGGGATTCACACTTTAAAAGAGCCTCTTTCGTCAGTTCTAGCTCATTTCAAAAGCTTAATATTCTTAAACTTAAATAACCGCCAATGGGTACCGAAAACTGGGGGGGAATACTAACAACTGGGTTTTGTCCTAAGTGAAAGTAATGTGATACAGGCACTGTACTAGATAGATAGATAGATAGAAAAAAAAACTTTATTCTGGGACTAAGTCCCTTCAGAATAACAATAATGTACAAAATAATAGAATATTACTGGCCTGAACGTTGAAACAATAAATGAAATTGATAAAATAAAATAAAAAGTAAAGAAAACCTTAGGTGCACAAGCTATCTACAATACAGATACTACTATGTACAGAGCATTTAAAATTATGAATAAAACAATTAAAACTATGAACGAATCATTTGAACTATGAACAAAATTATATTTAAGGGTTGAACAACATAAACATACACTTTGAGAAATGAAGAACGAAAAAGAGATACAATGAGTTCATTTCATAAAAAAAAAAACTTTACTTGAATATATATATGAAAATAAACAGTTACTTATAATTGAATAAAAAAAAAAATACAAAAAAATGTGTGTGTTGAAATTCCTACGTCGATAGTAGGAAATGCATGTACTATCTCTTACCAAGTGTTATGATTATATGATTGCTACACAATACATATATAATATTAATCGTTAGCTGGTATCTGACTGTTTTTGGAACAGGAATTGGAATAGGAGGTTTTTGAATGTGTACAAGGAAGGGGCATGTCGTATTTTGATCGGGAGGGAATTCCAAAAGTTGACAGAGCGGGCTATAAAGGAATTTTGGAATGAGGCAGATCTATGAGAAGGGATGTATAGGTCAGAGGGTCGGGATCTTGTAGTGAGTGAATGGATTGAGGACTTAAATTGGAGAAGGTTGTAGGCATAAGAAGGACGATGATCGGTAATGATTTGATAAAGGAAAGTGCCAAGGAAATATTGTCTTCTTAAGGAGGGGAAGAGCCACCCTAACTCAGTGTAGTGGTGGGAGACACGGGAGCGTCTCGGGGTTCCGATTACAAATCTTACGAAGCAATTCATAAGTCTTTTGAGTCTATCACGCAGTTCCACCGAAAGGCCATCGTACACCACACAGCTGTAGTCAAAGTGGGGAAAGATGAGAGAGGAAACTAGGAGTCTACGGGTATTTTGGGGTAGAAGATGGCGGAAGTGATGGAATAGTTTGAGGGTAGAAATTGCACGGCGGGATATATGAGAGATATGGTGATTCCAGGAAAGGGTTTGATCTATGAGAAAGCCTAAATTTTTAACAAAGGGATAGAAGGTGATGGGGTGGTTGTTTAGATAGAGTGAGGGAAAGTTGGTGTGGGATCTAAGAAGGGGCTTGGAACCAATGAGAATGGCCTGAGTTTTGGCCGCATTTAGCCTTAATCCATTTAAGTTGGCCCAGGCATTAATTCGATCTAAATCTTCTTGAATTTTGGCAAATGCCACCAATAACTCAGCGGGAGAAAAGGATAAATAGATTTGAGAATCGTCGGCATAAAGGTGGTGGGAACAATGGATAATTGTATCATTTAGGTCATTAATATAAGAACTGAAAAGAAGAGGAGACATGCTTGAACCCTGTGCAACTCCTGAGGATAAAGGAAGGTAGGCAGATAGAGGTTGATTAGGTATGGAAACTGCTTGGGTTCGTTGTGAGAGGAAAGACTGGAACCAAGAGATGGAACTCTTGGAGAAGGATAATGATTTTAGTTTGTTGAAAAGGATGGAATGGATAATGGAATCGAAAGCTTTAGAGAAATCAAGAAGTATAAGAATGGTTAATTTTTTGTCATCTATTGCAGTCTGGATATCACTAGTAATTTTAATCAGAGCAGATTGTGTAGAGTAGCCAGGACGGAAGCCAGATTGGAGAGGATCGAGTTGGTTGGATTGTTCAAGGAAGTTGGAAACTTGGGATTGCACTAACTTTTCTAGGGGTTTAGAAAGATTGGAAAGGATTGATATTGGGCGGAAATCTTCGGGAGAGGATGGATTAGGCTTTTTGTTTAAAGGAAGGACAATGGCTTTTTTCCAAGAGGTCGGGAATATTGAATTCTGCAGGGAGAAATTGTAGATGAAAAGGAGTGCTGGGAGGATTTCAGGGAGACATAATTTTATTAGTTTGATAGGAATGCCATCTGGGCCTACGGAATTGGAACGGGATTTCATTATAACGGTAATAAGGTCTGTGGGAGAAATGTCGGAAAAATAAAAATTATTGTCGTTAAAAGGTACCTCTGGAGAAAAGCCGGAAGGGGATGGTAACGAAGAGGTGGAAACCGATATAAAGTGGGAGTTTAGGTCATCAGGTGATATTGGGAAAACTGAGGAAGGGGATCTAGAAGGTTCACAGAGGGAAAGCTTACGAAGTAGAAGCCATTTTGATTTGATATCAGGAGCTGAGGAAAGGGCTTCGTGAAAGTAGTTCGCTTTCGCTTGTCGGATCCTTGTCTGTGTCGTGTTGCGAAGCATTCTGAATATTTGATAATCATCTGCAAGCCTAGTCCGTCTGAAGCGTCTGCGTGCAGCGTCGCGTCTCTTCTGCAGATCCTTAATTTCCTGACACATCCAAGGAGCAGGACGATGACGGAAAGTGGAGGTTTTGAGAGGAGCGTGGGTATTGAGTATATTGAGAAGATTGGTGGTGAGAATATCAACCATGGTGTCGACAGAGGAGCAATGATATATTCCATTTAAATCCAATGTTACTAGATCAGGTAATATTTTTTCTCGAGTAAGGGTATCCAGTACTAAGGTAAGGGGTGCGGAAATAGTCATAGACATTTGAGTTCCAAATAATAAAACTGCATCCCTAGAAAAACTCATTGATTAAATGGCTTTATATTGGCTAAAGCTTGAGTTTAGTCATAAGCCACATCAAAAAGATAGTTTTTTAATTTCCTACTTTTGAACATATTTAAATATTAAATTATATAGTGAGTTACATATTTAAATATGTTATAGTATTAACTCATAGATGATTTTCACTCCAGATATTTCATAATCATGGACATTTAAAATTAAACTGGTCATTTGTGCAATGTTTTTAGAAACAAGACATCAATGTAGAAGCTCAAGATCTAAACTGAAAATTAAGTTATACCTGTATTTTCATCACATACAAATAATATTGGCTAAATCAATAAAACATTTAAACTAACATAAATTTTAGTAATTGAAAAATGCTTTTGAATGTTCGTAAGATGTTCATGAAAATAAAAAAAGATGCTGTTAGATACTCATGAAAATTAGAAAAGATATACTTACTTGTGATGGCTGAAGGTCATATCCGGAGGTAGACCAGGTAGAAAACAAACCAAAGGTATTAAAATACATATCACAGTAATTACCTGTATTATAGAAGATTTTACAGAGCATGAATCGTCTCTAAAAACAAACAAAATTATTGATTAAACATGAAGTGAAGAAATACTTAATCACATTGAGGTTCATATGAGTTCACTAAACTTCTGGACAAAATATAGGCATGACTTTATTTATGTAACAATTATCCTATATTTATAGTTTTTAAAAGTGTATTGGAAGGTTATAACCTTCAGAATGTAAGTATAGTTCAAACAGAATACAAAAAATTCTTGGTTTATCTTTTTATCTTGGTTTAATCTTTTTCATCACTAAAATTTTGAAGTTAGCATCAGGAGATCCTTACTACCAGCATTAATTTGTTGTTTTTTTTACTGACATTGGGTATTTTCTCTTATAGCAGTTTTGTTTAAAAACATTACAATGACTTTGAACAAGAATTCAAGTTATTACAATTGTATAAGAGCTCTTACTCTTCATTAACGCAAACAGCCTATGTGAGGGTGCCTGAAGGCTCCATATTCACCAAATAACAAATTATTAGACACTATAACAGGCGGATCTATGGGGGGGAGAGGGGGAGGGCTTTCGGGCTGAAGCCCCCCAAAATGTTAAAATGTAATCATGTTTTACAGAAAAAAATATTAAAAACTATCCCCCCAAAATGGTAAAATGTAACCATGTTTTACAGAAAAAAATATTAAAAACTATCTCTTAAAGTATTATTGTTCGTGTAATTATATTTAATAGGACTTCAAGAACCAATTAAACACCATTTCATATAGGTGATTAATTACTTTATTTTTTTTTTTCAAATAAATTATCCTTATATGTATATGAAAAAAAATCTTTCGGGCTGAAGCTCCCCCCAAAATTAAAACCTGGATCCGCTAGTGGACACTATGATGCTTTAAAGAGACAGGTTCACACTTTACAAGATAAGATTAAAACGACTAAGGTCCACAAGCAATATGGATAACATTCAAGCCTTAAGGATATATAATTTATCCTTAAATAAACAAGGATTTATATTGTAACGAGAAATCATCTAAGATATCTAATAAGTAAAATTTGTCAGGTATTAATTTTCTTTTGGAGTGAAAGAAAACTTATTAAAGCAAATTTAAGTGTCACGAACCCTATGTATGGTCTCTTTTAAGAAAACAAGTTAAAGTCATAATCCATCAATTAGAGTTTATAGTCCTGGAAGCATATTTTTACTGATGATGTGCAGGAGTACCCATATCTCCTCAAGGATGATTGCACATGTAAATATTGGAAACAGCAGCTATAGAAAAGTAAGATGAAACCTCGAGAATTCGATAATAAGTTTTCTAATGTCATAAGGCAACTATTGTTATAATTCGCTAGGGGGATACCTTCTGTCCACCAAACCAACCCCATTTTTTAAATTATACAAGTGTTCATTTAATTGTACTACTTGTTACTCAAATTGTATAACTGTAATTTACAAGCATTGTGTAGATTAGATTTTTTATCAACATAAAATAAAAGGAATGAAACCACATTACGGACAAATTTTTAATTTATTTAAAAATATATCTATATTATACATTGCCAATTTGTAACCATAATTAGGGAGGAATAATTCTGGGAATAAGAAGTGTAGTATCTTCATCACGGTCTGTCCTGCTTTGGATATGTAAAATAAAATATGACACGGTCACTAAAAACTTTTTTATATAATAGAGAGATAACACAGGCAGTAGCATGAGCTATTAAGTTGATTTTAATAGAGATAGTAGTGTTTATTAAGTTTTTAATTTTAAATTTAGTCAATATTAGATTATATTTTCCATAATTAAATATATTCTTAGTAATTATGACTTACTTACTGAAATCCTGAAGTAAATTAAAGTACTTTAAATTACTGAAACATACAAATTTTGAAATGATGCATTAATTTTGTCCAAGAGTTTATTTATAAAATACCATCAATAAAGCCACCAAGATTTAAGCTACACAAATGGAAAATAAGCACCTTTAAACTTAAAAAAAATGTCAGATCTGTTTAATATGAGCCCATCTAATATAGGGAAAGTTTTAAACTTATCATTGTCCTAAGGTAAAATATTTAGAGCCATCAATATCTGGTAACAAAACACAATACAGCGAGAGAGAACAGTAGTTGTTATTTTTAAAAGAGAGTAACTTTCACTCAATCCTGTGGTAAGACCTTATGTTTGTATCTCTCATCGTGTTTCCCCGAGACAACAGAAAAATATAGGATTTACATCTTTCAAGTTATCAAAGATTCAACAAGATCACCTCTGCAACCTGTTCATACAGAACATAGGAAGTTATGATAAGACAACACTAAAAACATACAGTGATGTGAAAAAGTCTTCGAACAAACCCAATGTTTTATAAAAACGAAATGAAATGAAATGAAAAAATAATTTTATTCTGGGACTACTGACCCCTAAAAATAATAACAGATTTACAAATTTATGGCTCTTAGTCTGACATAACAATAACAATACAAACTATTTTACTGTTAATTGTTATTTCAATTGTGCAATAGATTGAAATTAAGCAGTGTATAGATGCAAGTATTTTACATGTTTACGGAAGTTTGAATGTGGAGTAGGTGGTAGAACAGGAGTTGTCTGAAGGTATTTGTGGACGAGGATTGACGCATGGAGGTAGGAAGTGAGTTCCATAAGGAAGCAGCACGAATGACGAAGGGTTTGCTGAAGGAAGAAGTTTTATGGGAAGGGATATATAAGTCTAAAGGTTGAGACCTGGTATTAAGAAAGTAGATAGAGGAACGTCGAGTTAGGAGTTCCAAGATGTAGGGAGGGTTTTTGGTCCTGAAGACTTGAAAAAGGAAAACACCAAGGAGGAATTGTCGTCGGGAAGTAGGATAAAGCCACTTCAACTCGGTGTACCAGAGTGAAACATGTGAATGCCTGGGGATCCTGAAAATGTATCTGATGAAACTATTCATGAGTCTCATTTCTAGCCTGGCAGATAGCCCTCCGTACACCAAACAGCTGTAGTCAAAGTGGAGGAATACAAGGGAGGTTATAAGGAGCTGTCTGGTTTTTAGAGGAATACAATCACGGAATCTTAAGGGCAGTTATGGATTTTCGGGTAATCTGGGAGATATGGTTATTCCAGGAGAGATTCTGGTCAAAGGTTACTCCTAGGTTTTCGACTGTAGGGAAAAAATGGATGGGATGGTTATTGAGGTTAAGTAGAGGAAAGTAAGGAAGGGAGCTAATGAGATGTCTGGACCCGATGAGTATAGCCTTAGTTTTATCTGCATTCAGCTTTAATTAATTTATTTCTGCCCATCTGTTGATGCATTCGATATCCTCTTGTAGCTTTCGGGCAGCCTCAGGCATCTCAGAAGGTTGGAATGATTGGTATATTTGGAAATCATCGGTATATAAATGGTAACAGTGGTAAAATGCTAAATGTTTCAATTTAAAAGTGTTTTTATACCCTTAATTATAAACTGATTTAACCTTGCAGACATTTTAGATTAAATATATATTTAAATTAACATAATTTTCAAATAACAACAAGCCAAGAGACCAATCCGCTGTGATGGCGTTTTTCCCCCTCTGAATAATGCTACCTTATTGTTTAAATTTCACTACTTTGTTGTCTAGTTTGGACTTCACTCTTTATCGTTAACCTCAAGAGCCTTTATATAAACTCTAGTAAGCAGAGTATATCAGTTAAAATTATTCTAATATTTGAATTCTTCACTTTTTATCAATAATTTAATTTAATGATTTTCTTCTGGCACAACCTTTAAGACCAATTAATAGGAGCTTCTTTCTGATCAAGGAGAGCAAACTAGGATCGCTGCAGTATTGGCTATTTCCTGAACCAGTTCTCTGCTAGATTTTTTGTAGTTGTGCAAACACAATAATTTTAAATGTTGTTAAGCAGCGAGACTGTTTTTTAGAACTACTGAACGTTTCAGGCCTCCAGTTTGCTTGGTTTTCTATTAGTTCGGAATTCATACACTCAAGATCTTGAAACACACCCCAAACCTGAGAAGATCTAGAGTGGAATACTATGATAAATGTTTACAGCCAACAGCTAAACACATTTACAACCAACAGTTAAACACATTTACAACCAACAGTTAAATACAAGCTGTGAGAAGGAAAAGTGGGATGGAGTCGTTAGAAAGATGCGAATGCATTGTCAATAATAACAGCGAAAGAATTCTCAGTTTTTGTGTTGGAAATGCATTAAGAATCGCAAACACTCTCTTCCCATATAGAAAAATCCATAGATTTCACCAGAGAGGAGCCAGGAAATGTGAAAGATCTGTAATAAATTATTTTCTAATAAGAAAAGGAGAGGTTGGTGAAGTAATGGATGCAAGAGTCAAGAGAAGGTATGAGACTGGAAGCAATCACTACCTCCTGGTGCTGGACAGTTTATGGAATGAAGAAATTCCTAGGAAAAGGCACAATAAGGACGATAAAAAGAAGACAATAAAGCCGTACAGGCTAAAAGAAGAAGAAATGGCTCAATACTTCCAAGAAGAAATAAATAGGATGGCAAGAGAGTCTAACAATCCATGGGATAGTGATGACATAGAGGAGAGCTGGTCATCATTCAAGAAAATTATTCTCAATGCTGCTAGATTGGTATGCGGAGTGAAAAGGGCAGGATCTGTGTTTAAAAGAAGACTTGGTGGACCGATGATGTCAAGAAGATGGTTCAGAAAAAGAAGAAAGCATGGAGGGACTTCCTTAGACAGAGAACATCTGCATCCTATGAAAAGTACAAGGAAAGAAGGAACAAGGCCAAGATAAAAGTTCTTCAAGCCAAACAAAAATCATGGGAAGATTTTGGTCACAAAATGGAGAAAATTGCAAAAGAGAACCAAAAGATCTTCTACAAAGCCATTAACGGAAAGAGGAAGGAAAGGCCAAATTCTCTCAAAGGAATCAAGGATAAAGAAGGAAGGATTTTATGGCAGGAAGAAGATATAACAGAAAGATGGAAAGAGTACTTCAAGGAGCTGCTGGAAGGGAGAAATGTTAGTCTGGATGAGATCCACAATACGGAGACGGAGTATTCAGAAGAAGATGATTTTATCAGCGAGGAAGAATTGCAGGAAGCTATCTCTAAAATGAAGCTGGGCAAGTCTGCAGTGCTTGATGAAATAACTCCTGAAATGATGCAGTACATGGGCAGTAAAAAGGTGAAGAAATGTTTCTCCATCTCTTAAATTTGATTTGGCATAAGAAAAGTGTTAAGTATTTGAATATTAAAACACAAAACTACACTATTAGAAATCACAATTCTTTTATTCATCATAAAAGATAACACTGTTAGGTTAATACTGTTAAATCACTAATTGGTATAATCGATATATCATAAAAGGATACCAAAGGACTGAGAGATTGCGGTGGTGGTGCCTGTTAACAAGAAGGGAGACAATAGAGAATACAATAATCATCGAGGCACATCTATGCTCAGTGTGGCATATCTCTGCTAGTAAGCTCTATTCAAGAATCCTTGAAGCAAGGGTAAGAAGAGTAATCGAATGCCAGATCAGAGAGGAGCAGTATGGATTCAGAAACTCGAGGAATAAACAGGACCTGATTTTCACTTTGAGGCAGGTCATAGAGAAGTCCATCGAGAAAGGGAAAGAACTTTCTGTCTGCTTCGTGGATCTTGAAAAGGCATTTGACAGAGTCAAAAAGGAGGATATAGAGCGAGCTCTGTCTGAAAGGCAAGTTGACATCAGCACCTGATTCTGGCTGTTAGGAGTCTATATCAAAATACCAGAAATATTTTAAGGACTGGCAACCACACATCCAAGGAGTTTGAAACGACGCAGGGAATACGGCAGGGGTGCATCCTAAGTCCCTTACTTTTCGTACAGTTGCTGGATCAAGCATTGAGGAGAGCTTAACCCAGACTGCGGTTTTTCAACTGGGATTTAGGAGTCTACAGCCTACTTTCTACAGAGTCCTCGCTTTTGCCAATGAACTTGTTATATTCGCTGCGGATGACGGGGACCTACAATATACCGTAAATATCATGCAAAAAGAGCTGCCTAGCATTAACATGGATATTAATCCACAGAAGGCAATATAAAAATTTGAGGTACAGCCAATAGAAACCACTCTAGAAGAGAATAAACTTAGATGGTTCGGGCACCTCCAAAGGATAAACATAGAAATAACGGCCAGGATAACGTACGAGACGAGAGTGGATGGTAAAAGACCAAGAGGAAGATCACGGATCACCTGGGAAGAAGGCGTGTGGGAGGCGTTCAGGAAGCGATGGCTGGACTGGTGCAGGAGAAGAGAGCTGGTACAGGAGAGGGACACATGGGTCGAGCTCTATAGAGGACATCCCCACACTGCGCAGCGGTAGAGAGGGAAATGATTATGATAAGTTAAACACAAGAGGTGCTTTCGTAATGGTATGGGGTGTGTTTCAAGATATTAAGTTGGAAATTTCTTGTGAATCGATGGAAAATTGTAGGCAAAACAGTAGCACAGCATTCTTACATACCATGCAATACCATCTGGGCTTAAGCTGATTGGGGAGAAATTATGAAATATGGAATGTTTAATTAAATTATTGAAAAAGAAACAAAGAAATTCAATATTAGAACAACTTGAACAGATACACTCAGCTTTTTAGACTATATACAAAAGATCTTGACGTATACAATGAAGAGTAAAGACCGAAGTGGATAATAAAACAATGAAATGTAAATAATAAGGTAACATTATTCAAAGGGGGAAAAAGTCAACACAATGGATCAGTTCCTTGGCTTGTTGTTAGCTAAATATATATTTTATCTAAAACGTCTGAAAGGTTAAATTAGTTTACAATTAATGAGATAAAAACACTTTTAAACTGAAACCTTTAGTATTTTTATAAATTTTTGGATATATATTTTTATATATATTTTTGGATTGTTCGAAGGCTTTTTCAAGACATTGAATATAATTTTTGTAAAACTGAATATATATTATTTTAATCAAAAATGTAAATTGCATATATATATATATATATATATATATATATATATATATATATTATATATATATATATATATATATATATATATATATTCATTGTCTATAATTTGTGTTTGTTTAATTTATTAGTTTTTTTCTCAAGTAATTTTCCTTTTTATTGTGTACACTTTTTAAGTTTTCCTACTGTTGAAAACAACACATGTATAAAATACTTTAAACAATATCAAAATATTTCGCAATATCATATAAAACGTACTCATTAATGCAATATGTAAGTGTATGAAAAAATGACTTCACCACCCAAATTTTTCTTTGTTTTCAAGACATTTTGGTGGCCAGGCTATCATCAGTTGATTTGGTGGTGTTAAGGGGAGCTATTCCTATTAATGATGCTGTTCACTTAGCCATTGCTCGAATCTCATTTGTAGTGAAATCATGAGATCTTATACCACCCATCAAACCAGAGCAACTCTAGTTGAGTATAAGCCTCTCAGGACGCCTGGGTGTCCAAGATCAGATAAGGATTACTACAGAAATTAAAGGCATCATATCCTGGCCTCTATTTTCAGTATGGTTTGTTCATATCATGCATAGAAGTAGATAAGTAAAAATTACCAGGGAAATAAATTATTTGTCATTAAGTATTCAAATAACTTATGGCTTGAATAGAAAATAGTAAAAAATCACACACCCACACATAAATGTATATATAATGTTGTTTTGGTAGATAAAATAATATTAAGTATAACTAAATAAAATATATAATACATGAAGAGATGAATATCATGGACTCATAAATCAAACATTGTTTAAATGTCATAATAAATTCCGTTGTGAAACAATTTAAAAGCTAATCACTAATTAAACACTAATTAAGAAAGAGATAAACACTAATTAAGAAAGAGATCAGGAATCATGACACTTACCTTTTATCGTCAGACATGATCGAACGAGATAAGTCAAGATGAAATGGCAAAATTCAAATGCCCCACTATATTCAAATTCTAATTTTTAATACTTCCAAACACAAATTAAGCCAAAGAAGTAGCAAACATAGTTCCTATATACATCTCCTAATCTAACTTCCACTATTAAAAAATATAAATATGTCGGAAGAATTTAAAGGTAGATCAATACTAAAAATCTCAAAATACTAAACAATAATCTGCTCAATGTCATAACAAATTGATATTACTAATTACATTTAAAATGCTCAATTTCATTATTTACGCCAGTATCACTATGTATATACAAGTAGAGTGACTGTTTCTTAACTAAAAATGGGAAAAAGACCTGATAATGAATTACTTTTGTTGTGCGTTTCACTATGTAATTGTATTGTGGTTGTTGGAAGATATCAGAAAGCTTCGATACTGACAAGGAGAGGATACAGTCTGTGCGTCACCGATGCGTTCTTTCCGGTACTTATGACTTAGCCGGTCGCCACGGAACCTCTTTCTTTCTTTTTTCCTCCCTTTTCATAATACTAGTCCTATAAAGTATCACTAATAAACTACACTAAGTCATCAATATTGCATAACATATATATTAAAAAAAAAAAAAAATTCGAATGCTAAGAATTTAACATCAGATCGCACACATATATATCAAAATAATTCTTCGAATATCGACAAAAATACAAGAAAATGCTAAACATATAAAATTGAATAATAACACTTTGGGAATTGCCGTCTTCGGAAGAAGAAGCTGTCAAATACTTTTAGAAGTTCGGGATAATTCCAAAGATGATATTGTGTAAAGAAGGTCATGAAATGAGTAAATAGACAAGTGTTTCTTCTTTCTAATGGGCCCCAAGACTCAAGAAAAAAATTATATAGTTTCATACGAAATTTATGTAATTCATTTTTGCCTTTGCTTTGCCCGGGTTTTTAGGTTACTATATATCAATCACTTTTTTTTTTCGGAATATTAAAAATATATTAACTGTTATATTAAATGAGTTATAATCAAGGCTTGGATTTTCATGCAGTCAAAAACATGAAAATTCTCTGTAATGTATTTAAAAATAAGATTATAATATACATACACTGCCTCAAAAAAGTTCCCATACAGTTAGATTCCTTTAACATTGCTAATAACTTATTTATTATAATATTTTTATTAATCAGGAAGGGTAGTAGAGATAAAGGTGTACCAACATGATGACAAGTTCATCATGCTGGATCACTAATCCCAAAGTAGGAAGAGATACAACATTATTCTAAATGTCAAAAAAGTTGCATCTATAATATCTTAATTCAATTTCTATTTAATGTCATAAATCGCTCAAATTTATTATCTGAACACTAGATTCAAGGTTTAGTTAACGTTCAGCCTACTTCAAATCATCATTATGCGTTTAGAGCAGTGTATTCGTGATTATATCGTGTGTTTGCCAAGTCAAGGATTTTCCCTTCGAAAAATTGAAATTTTACAAAAACAACCGCATGGAACTGTGCAATACGTGTTAAATAGACACAGTGAATTAAAATAGTTGGAGGACAGGCCTCGTTCAGGCCGCCCAAGTAAATTGGATAGAATTCATAGGAGGACTATTCTGAACCAGGTGCGTCTAATCCTTGATACGAAAATCCAGGATTGGAGGAAATTATTTATACTTAATTTGGGACGAAACAACTGATTGTAGGGGCTTATGTGAAGCAAATTGCTACATTTGTAGCAGATCTGCCTGTTGGGGTGTTTGATAAAAATACCATCCTTCTATAATATCCTAATTTCTATTTCTATTCAATGCTTTTATTTCGCTCAGATTTATTATCTGAACTCTTCATTCAAGATTTAATTAAGGTTAACGAGTTAAAGTGGCTCTTCCCTTCTTTCCGCAGACAATATTTCCTCGGATCTTTCCTATTCCAAAAAATCAACACCAGACACCCTTCTTACATCTACAGTCTCCTACAGTTTAAACCCGTGGTCCACTCCCAGAAAACAAGATCCCGTGTTTCCGACCTTTATATCCCTTCCCATAGAACTAAGACGTTTGAATATTCCTTTATTTCCCGATCCACAGCCTTCTGGAATTCCTTGCCATCTGAAATCCGTCATGCCTCTTCCTTGTCCTTATTTAAATATCATCTTTACCAGTTCCTTCTCACATCCCAAAATGACGTTATACAACAAAATAAATATTGTGAAACAGATTTTGACTGAGGTGAATGGTTGATAAAATTTATTGAGTCTTAATTTTAAAAATCAACCCATGCTTATTTTATTTTATTTTTATTTTCATTTAAATAATGTTGTTTTTTTTATTTCGTTTTTTTCTCAAAATTTTATTTTATTTTTACTTGTTTTAATTTAATTTCACTGAAGGTACTGTTATATATTCTTTAATATTGATTAATGTAATTTTTGGCCAGATGTAGTTTTAATTTTTTTGTTCATATCTGTTATTCATAAGGGACCTTGTCCCAGAATAAAGTTTACTTTCTATCTATCTATCTATCTATATATACATATGTAGTAATGTAATGTAAAGATTATGTGCATATGGATCGATTGGTATGCTCTGTGTATAGCAACCCTATGTAGTAGGGATGCGTTACATTCAATAAAGTATTTTAAACAGAAAATAACAAAATTAACAAAAAAAAAAAAATTGAAAACAATTGAATAACGCACAATAATGATAAACAATTGACAGGGAATTTTATTTTGCTAGAACTTTTACATTCAATCAAAAGTCATGCTAATAGCTCCTCTGGTATAGGCAATATTCACTATATAATGTTAACTAAATTATCGATAAAATTAAAAATTATATTATTAAATATACTCAATAATATATGGCAAACTAATATATTACCGGAATCGTGGAAGGAATATTGTGTGGTACTTATTCCAAAACCAGGTAAGGACCCACAATTAGCCTCTTCTTTCAGACCTGTTTCATTAAGTTTAGGCTAGAATGGTGATTGGAATCACAGAATAAGTTACCTTACTTTCAATATGATTTTAGAAAAGGAAAATCGAACATGGATAGTTTATTGGTCATGCACTCTGACATAAATATAGGATTTTCAGAAGGCAAAAACAAATTGGATTATTTTTAGACATCGAGAACGCATACGACTCAATTCCTATATACATACTATAACAAAAATGGAACATATCAAAGTCCCTGGAAAATTGATTAATTTCGTAGTGAATTTGATTAGTAATAGAAAATTATTTTTAAAGGTTAACAGTTGCATAATTGGGACAAGAAACGCTCAGATTGGTCTACCCCAGGGAGGTATCCTTAGCTGTCTACTTTTTGCTGTAGTCTCTGCAGATTTAAGAAAATATATAGATAGATAGAAAAAAAAACTTTATTCTGGGACTAAGTCCCTTCAGAATAACAATAATGTACAAAATAATAGAATATTACTGGCCTGAACGTTGAAACAATAAATAAAATTGATAACATAAAATAAAAAGTAAAGAAAACCTTAGGTGCACAAGCTATATACAAACAGATAAAACTATGTACAGAGCATTTAAAATTATGAACAACACAATTAAAACTATGAACGAATCACTTGAACTATGAACAAAATTATATTTAAGGGTTGAACAACATAAACATACACTTTGAGAAATGAAGAACGAAAAAGAGATACAATGAGTTCATTTCATAAAAAAAAACAACTTTAATTGAATATATATATATAAAAATAAACAGTTACTTATAATTGAATAAAAAAAAATGTATGTATTGAAATTCCTACGTCGATAGTAGGAAATGCATGTACTATCTCTTACCAAGTGTTATGATTGTATGATTGCTACACAATACATATATAATATCAATAGTTAGCTGGTATCAGACTGTTTTTGGAACAGGAATTGGAATAGGAGGTTTTTGAATGTATACAGGGAAGGGGCATGTCGAATTTTGATCGGGAGGGAATTCCAAAAGTTGACAGAGCGGGCTATAAAGGAATTTTGGAATGAGGCAGATCTATGAGAAGGGATGTATAGGTCAGAGGGTCGGGATCTTGTAGTGAGTGAATGGATTGAGGACTTAAATTGGAGAAGGTTGTAGGCATAAGAAGGACGATGATCGATAATGATTTGATAAAGGAAAGTGCCAAGGAAATATTGTCTTCTTAAGGATGGGAAGAGCCACCCTAACTCAGTGTAGTGGTGGGAGACATGGGAGTACCTCGGGGCACCAATTACAAATCTTACGAAGCAATTCATAAGTCTTTTGAGTCTATCACGCAGTTCCACCGAGAGGCCATCGTACACCACACAGCTGTAGTCAAAGTGGGGAAAGATGAGAGAGGAAACTATGAGTCTACGGGTATTTTGGGGTAGAAGATGGCGGAAGTGATGGAATAGTTTGAGGGTAGAAATTGCACGGCGGGATATATGAGAGATATGGTGATTCCAGGAAAGGGTTTGATCTATGAGAAAGCCTAAATTTTTAACAAAGGGATAGAAGGTGATGGGGTGGTTGTTTAGATAGAGTGAGGGAAAGTTGGTGTGGGATCTAAGAAGGGGCTTGGAACCAATGAGAATGGCCTGAGTTTTGGCAGCATTTAGCCTTAATCCATTTAAGTTGGCCCAGGCATTAATTCGATCTAAATCTTCTTGAATTTTGGCAAATGCCACCAATAACTCAGCGGGAGAAAAGGATAAATAGATTTGAGAATCGTCGGCATAAAGGTGGTGGGAACAATGGATAATTGAATCATTTAGGTCATTAATATAAGAACTGAAAAGAAGAGGAGACATGCTTGAACCCTGTGCAACTCCTGAGGATAAAGGAAGGTAGGCAGATAGAGGTTGATTAGGTATGGAAACTGCTTGGGTTCGTTGTGAGAGGAAAGACTGGAACCAAGAGATGGAACTATTGGAGAAGGATAATGATTTTAGTTTGTTGAAAAGGATGGAATGGATAATGGAATCGAAAGCTTTGGTGAAATCAAGCAGTATAAGTATGGTTAGTTTTTTGTCATCTATTGCAGTCTGGATATCACTAGTAATTTTAATCAGAGCAGATTGTGTAGAGTAGCCAG